AAAGAAAGAAAGAAAGAAAGAAAGAAAGAAAGAAAGAAAGAAAGAAAGAAAGAAAGAAAGAAAGAAAGAAAGAAAGAAAGAAAGAAAGAAGGATGTCAACAGATTCAGAAGCGGGAATTGTGCTGAAGAGCTACTCTACAGACATTCCACCATCAGAATTTGTGCATTGTTTGGCAGAGTCACTATTGTGCAGGGAATGAAAAAGGAGAATCTTATCAACCCCCCCCTTAAGCAGAACCAGTATCTTTGGAGGCCACCCTCTATTGGATCCAACCATACATCCAGCATGCCCACTCTTGCCTTCCACTGACAGGATTAACCTGGAACACAGGCAAGGCGTTCTTTTTTCAATCTCCCTCAAATATCCTGGGAAAGACCATGTGAATTTTGGTGAGCAAAGGTTGTCCCTCAGAAGTGGAACATGGCACCCCACTTCACATACCCAGTGGAGCTTCAGTCTGAAAAAGAAGCGCAGCATGTTTTCCGAAAATATGGAACTGTGCCATGCCTTTGCTTCCATGACCCATCAGGTTGACTCCACCCCCACCTTTGTTGCCCACATGATTTTTGTAGAGTGGATGAAGAAGTCTTGGCCTGGGGGAGCACCGTGATCAACCCATCCAATCTTCACAGGTTCCAAAGTTCCATTTTGAGACACGCTCCAATTCGAGATGTCATATTTCTTATCTTTTTCAGTGAAAGAGACTTGCTCCCCAGCACCATTGTTAAACCGGACATTCCTCAGAGGATCAAGAATCTGAACATGCAGAAAGATTCAGAACAGGGGACAGTAAGTGGCATTGTCTTCCATGGGTCTCTGACTTCTATCTAATTAAGAGACCTCTGTTTCTTTCCTTTTCTATTGTCTAGTTTAATTGCTAGATGAAGTCCATTTTGGTAATATCCACACATATCAGATGGCATACAGGCTTGGGCATCTTAGCTTGGTGTCTTCTTCCACTCCTGTATTTTGATAGGGAAGCTGGAAAAGAGTCACTCATAGACACCAGGAATCCAAAATGTGGGTTTTCTGCATGCTGGCAAGAAGAGAGTCACTGTAGGGCAGCCCCACAGTCGCATGCTGTCAACATAGATGAAATGATTGGTACATAACTGGGGGCGGGGCTTGCTTGGACCTTCCTTCCCAGTGAGCTCAATTGCAAAACATCAGTTTTAAGAAGCTCCTCCAGCCTAGTCTCTGCTACACTGTGCTCACTTTTGAATGTTAACTCAGGGAAATTACTTCCATAGAGATAAATGCACAAAGATTGTTTCCCGTGAGTTCTCTTAATTAGACCTCCTTGCAGGCAATAACCTTGCCCTCCACAAACAGTTGAATGGAAATCACAAGGGCAGATTGGCTGAGTTCATGACCTCTGAATCTGGATATTACCTGCCACGGCTGAATGCTCAGAAGCCTCTTGCCTTTCCTCTTCATTGAATACCTCAGCCCAGAGGAGGACAGGGCACGTAGCGCATGTGCCACAAGGTAGATGGCATTGTAGATCTGGTAGCTGTTCCTGGACATGCGCAATTGGAACTGGAAAGTTCTTGGATCATTCTGCATCTCCCTCCTGGTACACTTTTTCTTCGAAGGTGGGAGTGGTTTCTCAGTTCTCAGGAGCTTACACTGAAATGCCCTTTCCCACCACTCATGAAGAAAGGCATCTCCTTTAGGTTGGAATGGATCTAATGCCATGAGAAAACTCCTGAATCCTGGAACTTCTCTTGTGTGAACGCTGAAGTACAAAGCTCCATGAAGGGTCTTGAAATTATTTCTGAACCCAGAGTGTACGCTCGCTTCCACTTCCGAATGGCAGGTCAGAATCCAAACCTTCTGAAATGGGATTTTAGTGCTTTTTTCATGACGAAACAACCTCCATGTTAATAGCATAGTTGCAGTGTTATCCCCAAAGAAAACAATGACTTCTGTTTCCAACCACACACGAGAAATGTACTCAGTTTGCATCTCAGCTTCTGAGAACCTTTCAGTGAAGGCCACACAAATGTCTTTCTGCTGCAGCAGGGGGGTCACTGCCTGGAGGAAACGCTCACCATGTACACTGCTCTTTACAAGCAGCCCAATCCAGTTCCACTGGAAATGCAGTAGCAGCTGGACTAGGCTCTTATACTGAGGAACATGCCAGATATTAATCTGAAAAGAAAGATGGATAAAGCATTTTTTTCTCACTGAATACAGGAAAGGAAGAAATCTGAGACCAGAAAGAGGGAGAATCTTAACAATACTTCTTATTAATATTTGGTAGCATTTGAAAATAAATATGCCTCTTTTGTGGAGTAAACTTCCATCTTCCAGTAGCCATGACTTGAAATGTATGGAGTACTACTCCAGGAAAGGGCTCTCTAAGTATAAAAGGAAGCTCACACTGCCCGTTTGGATGCCTAAAGAGAACCATCAGCTCTCCGTTTCCCCACTCTCCATCCCGTGGATCATGGGTCTCTTCATCCAGCAACACAAGCAAATGCCCACCTCTGTTGCAGGAATACCTACAAAGATGGACTGAGTGCTGGCAGAAGGACTACGCATGACAAGAATGAGATCTAGTTACATTCCAAGGGGGCATCTCACTTTATGCATATACTGAGCTTTGGATCTTTAGAGCTGGTCTCCAAAGGGAGGATTGCAAGGTAGACTGGGCTGAGAGTCTGTAATGGAAAAAAGTAATGCAGCAATTTTATGGCCATGACACCGCCCTGGCTTTCGTGAGGTCACAGAGCCTTTCATGGCCCAATGCATCTCATTGTGTAATGCTGCTTAGGATTCTGGCCTGCAACCATCCCTGTGAGGCAGCTCATTTGCTTATGCCATGAAGACTTAGTTCATTTTTTGGAACACTCTTTGATATTGTCTCTCTAAGCTTACACAACAGTGCCTGATAGTTCTCACAGTTGCACATCGCAGGACGACATACCCATTGCTAAGTGGAATTTGTCATGCAAGACTCCTTAAATTCATCCCTGAGCTCGTCTAAGGTGATTTCAATACTCCCTCGACAGGTGAGAAGGCCCCCTACCCTGTCATCCAGAATGAAGAAAAAACAACCACTGCAGGGATAAATATGCTCTCAGATTTGGCCCTTCTCTATGCAGGTCCCTCACTCCTATCTCCAGATGAATGCATTTACCTCTGGGATCTTCAAGATGCTCATTAAGGCCGCAGAGTCTGATGAAGATTCTGAGTCAAAATCCTGTATAACAGAGAGTAGTTGACCCCGCTTGTCACATTTATAATTGGGGACAAGTTTCCGCTGTGTACACGGCAACAGGAGGTTATTCTTATTCATTAGCGTGACCAGGTCCTGGTTGTCATAGATGTGGAAGCCGAGCGTCATGTTGGGAAGGAGGGTGGGATCCTTGTTGATCTCAGTGACTGCAAATGCCAAAGCCTGGCTGTGCTGGTAGCTCCTGATTATTGTTCTGATGTTACAAGAGGAATATCAGGACATGGGTGAGGAGAAGCTAAGAATTGGTGACCTTTTTCATGTCAAAATGTGCCAGGATCCCTTCTCATGTTCATAGTGGCACATTCTATTCATTTACATTCTACTCATGTTAATAGTGGAAAAACAGTCCTTATTGTATGAACTCTTTTACTAATTTCTGAAACAAAAACAGCCCCTGAACAGCCTGCCCTCCAGGAATACATCTGAGCCTTCCCAAGCAAATTTAAATCCATGAGCCATCAGAGAATCCCTAAAGTCTCTGCAAGGCACTGTCAGCCTTTGTCCAGTGAATCAGAACTCATTAAGAAGGACCACGGAATAGGCCAGGGGCCCTGCTTCTCATGAAGGGGTTCCAGGATGAATTCTGGAATCCCCAGGGAGGGCTTGGGAAGACCCTCCCTCAAAACCCTGGACTGCAGCTACCTCTGGGCAGACATATTGAGAGTGAGTTCCCGAAAGCAATGCAAGGATCTAAAACATCTGATCAAGCCTGCTTTGCTAGAAGTCTGAGACCTCATGGACTAGGGTTGGCTGAGAAACTCCTTCAATTGCAGATTCTCCCAGGCTCTGACCTTGGTAGGTCTAAGAAATCCTGACAGAAAGAAAAAGTGAGAATGAGAGAGAGAGAGAGAGAGAGATCCCTCCACTCACTCACTTTGTAGTGGGTTAAAGGTCTGACTTCCTAAGCCATCCCTACTGATGCTTTTTAATTCATTGCTTGATGTAAGGCCTGGAAGACCCACCCCATGCTTCTTTTTTCCCTAAGGACATAGGGAGAATGAGTTATCCATCGAGGGATGGTGGTCCACTGTCACCTGTAGAAGCAGGGGCTGAACTAGATGGACTGAGGTTCTGTCTGCAAAGAGGAAAGCTCTGTAGCAGGCTCTCCTAGTTTTCTTCAAGTAACTATAGATGAGTTGCCCCATGTTGTTGTCTAGAGTATATAATGCCAGAAACTTAGTGAGAGTGGTAGGGGTTGTTTGCTCACTGGGTGGTGAAAGGACTTGTTTTTATTGGGAGCAGAGACAAAAAGATATCTGAGAGCAAAGCTTTTTTTTTTTTTTTTTTTTGGTTCCCCTTTTGTGGACCTCTTGGGAAAGAAATCTATTCTGTCTTTGTTGAAATTATTCAGAATGTCTGCATTTTTAGGAGTTAGGCACAAGGGTTACTCCAGTCAATGAATTTATTTCTGAGTATAAGTTCTCTCAGCCTCAATTCTTAGAGCCCCTCTTTTGGCTCACAACCGCTATTGCATACAAAAGCCTCTCATCTGAAGCCTAGAATTCCCCAAATCATGCAATTTCCAGGTTGGAATACTATGGGGGTTCCAGGATGGAAGGGAGCATGTCTCCAGCTCATCTGCTTCAATTCTATGAGCTGCTTGGCATTTTCATTCTAGTTCCTTCACGTTTCCTGAGAAACATGGGCATGAAGCCAATGAATTCTGAGCTCAGAACACAGTTGTGGCCCAGAAAGTCATATTGTCTCATAATCAGCTATAGAACCCACTGAAGTTTACCCAGAGTTTCCTTCTTCTGAGGCACATACTTTGGGGTGGGATGGAATACATTTTGGAGTGATGTTGACACAGCCAGTAGTCAGAAAGGTCAACTGCGTTACTCTTGGAGCTCAGGCAATCTGCCAGTAGATCTGAGAGCAGGACCCACCTCCCCATCCCTGTCTTGGATGGAGCCTGCTCAGGACAAAGATGGTAGGGCAGATTTTCATCTTCAAGGGATTTTCAACACAAGAAAAGCCTGCTGGTTCCCTCTCACCCTGTTGCTTGCACAGCTCTCCAGATGAGTCCAGTGGAGAAACCGTAAGCAGCTGAGGGCCTTCCTGGCAAGTCTCAGAGACTTTCATGCCCAACCCTTTACTCCAGAGCAGCATCTCTGGCACACCTCCCCAAAATGAACCCTCTGGTGTGAAAGCAAGCATGCATGCCAGTTCCCTTTGCAGAAAACCTACATGGGATAACACATGGTCTTTAATCTGGGAAATGTATGGAAATAATTTTCCTCTGTATAGAAAAACCTGCCAAGCAGTAAATTCCCACCAACAAGCAGGTCTCCCTGCCGGTGGTAGTCTTTTGGTTGTGGAAGCAGCCGATTCACATCACAACTCGTCCTCAGCATTGTCTGTGTGGCCTGAGGCAGGAGTAAAAGCAGCAAGGCCAGCAAGATCATCAGCATTGCAGAGAGCTCTCCCTCCCCTGTCATTCAGTCACAGGAAAGCAGTCACTTTGCAGCCACAGCCAAGCAGGGGGACTGGATATTAGGAAGGGATGCTTGGAAATGGAGTGACTGGACAAAACCACAGCCTCACGTGGAGGGACCCAGAATATATTAATGCCAGGCACACTTGCTCTAGGATCTCTGTGTTATTGACCTTCTGGACTGAAATCCCTGTGGAATTGTCTGGAAATTCTGTCATTTCCATAATTCCAGGGCAGAGAAATAACCTGCAGTGGTGGAAAACAGTGTTGCTTCACTTCTTTCTTTTCTGCAGTCAGTGGGGGCTTGAGCTGAGTTGCCCTTTTCTGCCCTTTGACCTGCATCCTTCCGTTCCCCACCATCCTGGATAGAGACCAGGCTTGGGCCAACATTTTCTAAGAGATTGTTGGGTCAGAATTAAAAGGGATGTTCCTGGTTGTAGCAGCACAAAAGCATCTCTGGAAGAAAAGCCTGCAAATTCAGAAGACGTTGAATCCTCATGGCAGGGATGATGGGATTGATTGCTATGCCCTGTTGTGTGCCCAGCAGTTCAATTCAGTGGTCAATCTCTGGATTGTCATGGTTTGGAGCTGCAGGACCCCACAATGGACTGGCCAGCTGGACATTAGCAAATGAATTGAAAGAATTCCATTGCTATACTGCCCAATAGCTAAGGCTGCCTGGGCAGCCAAGAAAAGTATCGCCATAGGTATCGCCATGTCTGGTCCCAGGTCTGAACCCTCCCAGGAACAGGATGGCTCTTCCTTCCTGATGAGAGAAAAATAGGCAGGACAACCTTGGAAGTCTTTGCAAGGCTAAGACTGATTATGAGGTGAGACTTGCAAAGAATGACAAGAGCGACAAAAAGGGTTTCTATGAGCATGTAAATAGGAAGAGGAAGGGGAGACAAATAGTGGGACCACTAAATAAGTAGGAAGGAGATCCAGTGACCGATACGTGGGAAAAGGAACAGATGCTAAATGACTATTTTGCCTCTGTGTTCTCTCCAAATCAGGAGAGATTTGGAGATCAGGAGATCCACATAGGATATTTGTTATTTGTTTTTCGGTGCCAGGCCAAGACCTTTTTATTCAAACAGTATTTTAATAATGTTTACTATTTATATATTTTAATTGTGCAACCAGTGTGTTTCCAGGTTTTAATTGTAATTGTAATTGCTTTATTTATTTCCTTTTGTGAGTCGTCCAGAGGCTATGCAGCAAGGGGATGGCATATAAAAGCTTTAAATAAATAAATAAATAAATAAATAAATAAATAAATAAAATATTTGATGAGGCCGGGGACTTAGGGGCACAGGTTAAAGTCACCCTCCCTAGAAGTCGTGGGTCTCCTCAGGGCACTGGACGTTACAAAGACGCTGGCCCCTGATGGGTTACACCTGAGAGTACTTCAAGAGTTGGCAGGGTGATGTTCCAGAGGACTGAAGGGTGGCATCTGTGGTCCCAATTTTCAAAAAGGGTCGTAGAAGGGACATGGGGAATTACAGACCTGTTTGCCTTACGTCCATCATAGGAAAAACAACGGAAAGGCTCATAATAGTGATGCTAGATAGGGAAGGGAGACTGGCAGCCGCACAACACAGCTTCCACAATAGGACCTGCCAGACAAACCTTGTGGAATTCTATGACAAGGTTTCAAGGTGGCTAGATGAAGGGGATACAGTGGATGTGGTTTACCTGGATTTCAGCAAGGCCTTTGACAAAGTGCCCCATGATATCCTGATTGAGAAATGGATGAGTTTTGATGTAGACCAATGCACTGTCCGACGGATTAGGGCATGGTTGACTGACCGAAAGCAGAAGGTAACCATTAGTGGGGAATCATCGGGATGCCAGTGACAAGCAGGGTCCCCCAGGGATCTGTCCTGTGGCTGATTCTGTTTAATCTTTTTATAAATGACATGGAAGAAGGTGTGAACAGTCTGCTTATGAAATTTGCAGACAATACTAAATCTGTAGCAGTGGCCACAACTGAGGAGCAGGAATTCCAGATCCAAAAGGATTTGGACAGACTATGGAAGTGGGCAGGAGACAACAGGATGGCATTCAATGAGGATAAGTTCAAGGTCTTGCACTTGGGCCACAGGAATGGGAGTCATAAGGACAGGTTAGGGGACAGGTGGCTGGAGAGCACCACTTGTCAAAGGATGCAGGTTGACTGCAGGCTAAACATGAGTCAGCAGTGTGATGTGGTTCAGAGGATGGACCCCACCTTGGTTGCATAGCCAGAAGTGTGGCTTCTAGATTGAGAGAGATATTACTACCACTCTATATAACTCTGGTGCGCCCGCAACTGGAGCATTGTGCTCAGTTTTGGGCCCCTCATTACAGGAGGGATAAAGCCAGGTTAGAGTCAGTGCAGCATAGTGCCACAAGGTTGGCGGCCAGTTGCAGGGGATGGGGTATGAGGTGAGACTGAGGGAACTGGGTCTCTTCAGCCTGGAGAAGAGGAGACTCAGAGGGGATCTGTTGGCGACATACAGGTATGTGAGGGGTTGTTACATGAAGGTGGGTAAAGAGCTGCTCTCCCCTGCAGAGGAAGGCAGGATGCGCTCCAACTGAGCAAAGCTCAGGGAACCAAGATTCCATTTAGATGCCACGAAGTATTTCCTGACACTTAGGACCCCAAGGGTATGGCATCCGTTTCCACAGGAGGTGGTGGAGGACCCATCAGTGAGGGTGTCCAAAGATAGACTAGACATGTGCCTGGTGGGCATGTCGTTAGTGGAGCCACCTGGAGC